CAGGTGGTGACACTCGCCCTTGTCTTCGACATCTCGGGCAAGGTCCGCAGAAGTTGTATGGGCTTGGGTCCCAGACATGATGGGTTGAGCTTTGTTGTAGAACTTGTGTAGAGTTCAGAGATGGTGGTGAGCTTGCAGAGCAAAGCCTGCTGGAGGAATAGCAGACCATCCTGATATAAATAAGAAAGGATGAAGACGGTTGCCTCCTGCCCCGTGGTTTGAGACTTCCCCGGAATTACCCCACGTTGGCGCTAAAACTGGCCTGATCATTATATCCTTTTTCGGTATGGGGGAACGTTAGACCTCTTGGAGTGGGCTCGCTCCCCAACAGCAGCCAGTCGGATGGAATGTATTACAAGCTCGATTGCGGGCCATTTTTCTCTTCTGACCTCCCGTCTAAGCCAAAACCCCTCTCGCTTTCTTTGAATAGGAACAGTATTTCCCAACTGCGAAACCTAACCGCTCTCGGTGTTTGCTCGAGGGCAGCATCCTCACCATGATTTTGACAACTGAACGCACAGGGAGCTTTCTGAGACTTGGCAGGTGAGGAGCATTCTCGACCAAAGCGAACTAGCCACGACGCTATTTCCCTTATTAGCGTCAAAGGTTGTTTGTTTGGTCGGATAAGGGCGGCACTGTCCGGGCCGGAGAGGATATCAATGGCCCGACCTTAGCTGGGGGCCTACGCGTCTGCAATATAGGAACCCGACAAGTCGTATCGACTATCTTTCCCCGCAAGTGGCCATAGCTATCACACCGATTCTTCAAGCAAGGATGAACCTCGTACAAATTTGCTGAGCTAGTCAGTCATCGTCTCATGGCGGTCAGGCTGTCACTTGGGGCAGGCTTCAACTCTTACTCCCATTTTATTGTTTGGAGATACTAGCATTTTCAGCATCAGTCTCTTGTTTTGGGTGGATTAGTCATTTGCTTTTAGTACTGTTATTATTCATGTAACCCTCAAGCCCCTAAGTCTTCCCTCGCGGAGTTATTGTGTTTCAACCTGAAGAGAATGGTCACAGCTGGCGACTACTTAGAGAGATCTTGGTTTTTGTAACTTGTCTATTAGTCTATCTACCAGTCGATACTCGAATCACTACCGTTACCGCATAAACCCACAGGTTGCTGCTTTCCATTTCCATTTTGTACCTTCTTCTTCCCAGCCTTTACCCTAGGCATCGTGATACTCCGGAAGACCTTGCTCCCGAGTTTGCTATACAAGGGCAACACACCTCCAGCCTGTAAAAGAATTTCTTCAATATCAGACTGCCGGTATTGAAAGACCTTGTCGTAGCCTTCAATCTGGATAGTTTTGCTCTCCTTGTCGATAACGATGACTGAGTCCTCTTGTGCAATCTGGTAAAACTCGTCGTCTTGCAACTTGATGTTGAAGAGACCCATGTTCAGCTGGTTGCGCTCGTCTGTGAAATGTCAGTCATGATTGGGAAACAAGAAAAACTTGGTTTCACGTACAGATGAATGCAAAGCCCTTGGCAATGACTGCTTCCACCCCGGCTCCTTGTAGTGCTCTAACGGCGTCTTCTCGTGATGATCCGCTGCCGAAACCGTGCTCTGCAACGCTATAAGTTATGAGTACATTTTCACGTGGCAGGTTTCAAGGATGACAGCTTACATGACACGAGATCCTGCAGAGACCTTTTCTCGGAAGGTTGGACGAAAGTACTGGAAGCAATGGCTGCCTAGGTCGGCATTATCGACTCCAGGCATGAACTCGGCGGGAATGATGGCATCTCTATGATAGATTAGCACTTCCCAAATTCCGTCTTCAGGCTTGTTTGAATTCTGTAAAACCCACGTATCAACATTTTCTCCAAATCTTTGCACCTTTGATCGTACCAGCGTGCTCGGCTGGAACTGAGACGCAGCGTCGTCGGCGCCTGATGGCTCATCAAAGATCTTCGGCACTGTATTCAACGCAGCTTCCGGCTCAGGCTCGCTTATCGCCAGGGTAACTCCTTCACCACTCCCCCTAAACCCCTTCACCAAACGCTCCAGCCTTTCCCTATCTAACTGAGCCAACAGCTCCTTGGGATCAGTCACCACCATGTCAAAGCTCGACGCCGCAACGGCAGCCGCGCAGGTAATGTTTCCAAAACTGCCCTTGCCCATGCGGTTTCGGAAATTGCGGTTCTGGGAGGACAACCAGACTTCGCCCTCTCCGGCGACATCGACGTCGTTGATCCCGACGCAGTAGGAACATCCTGGGGCACCAATGTCGAAGCCAGCTTGGCGGTAAATTTCCAACATGCCCGCACGGTCTAGGTTCTTGATGATGATGAGACTGCCTGGCGTGACGCGCCGTTTTCCTTGGGGTTTTGGTCGAAGTCCTGCACGGAGACCAGCTTCGAGAACTAACGCGCCAATGATCAGGTCTTCCTCTGTGGTTGTGCAAGCACCGATGAAGCATCCGTCGAGCTTCATGCCTGCCTTTTCTGACACAGGTACTACGTTGTCCGGGTTAGGATAGAGTGCCATGGTGACGCTGACAGTGGACAGATCAATGGTTCTCTCCTCTACATAGACCGCATCGGGGTCCGCGCGGAAATATAGCCCGCCTTGTCGGTGTTCTGGATGTTGGCGCCGCGCGATCCACGCCGCTGTTTCTTCATCTGCTTCGAAGCAGGCGCCCATGCCACCAAACTCGGTGTTCATGTTTGCTATAGCAAACCTCGCATCCATGGAGAGTTCCTTGAGTCCTGGGCCGCCGTACTCGACAGCCCGTTGGAAAGCAACGGTGTTGCGCTTGAAGAGACCCAGGATATGAAGAATGACGTCCTTGCCGCCCACGCCAAACGGCAAGCTGCCCACAAAGTTGATCCTGCAGACTTCAGGCACGCGGAACCACGTCTCGCCCGTCACCATGGGCATGACCACGTCCGCCGCACCAAACCCAACCGCAAAGGACCCCATGCTACCTGCCGAACAGGTATGCGAGTCACTTCCCACGACAATGCGCCCTGGCTGAGCCCGTTCTCTGGTGAAGTCCGTATGCATGATGCTGGTGTTTGCGGGCAGAAAGTCGATGATCTTGGCTTCCCGGCGGAACCGCTCCGCTTTGGCCATCAGACCTTGCTGCCGAGGCAGGTGGTTCGAGCGCGGGTCGACAGTATGGTCGACGGCGAGCCAGAGTCTGTCGTTGCGGAAGGGCCGAGGACGGCCCATTTGGTCGTACGTCTTTTCCATTCCTCCCCAGAGGAGCTCGGATGTGATTGTCCAGTCGACCTTGACGCAAATCATGTCGCCGGTGTCGACGTGGGGTTTGGTGAGACCGACGGCGGCGTGAGTGAGGATCTTCTCAATGACACTCAGGGGTCGGCGTTTTACAGTGAGGGCTGGCGGTGATGGTTGAATTGTTATTGGAGAGGGGGCTGCTAACTGGGCAGAGTTGACAGCCTCGAGATAGTAGTCGAGGTTGTGCAGCAAGACGTCCATGAATTCGTCTGCTGTGGCTGTGCCGCCAAGGTCAGTGGTCCTTGTATCCGACCCGATCAGTTCCACGGGATCCAAGGTGCGACGAATAGCCTTGGACAAGGCGTCGCTTTCGGCAGACAGGCCCAGAGACAGCTCCAGCATCAGGCCAACAGCCTGTATCATGCCAAGGGGGTTGACTAGTTTCTCCCTAGGCTTGAGATTCAACGGCTCGAATATTCCCGGTGATATTGAGGAGCGGTCTAGCGAGGACACGGCAGCCGATGCCAGGATATCTGGTGATCCAAGGATCCCACCAGCCTGGTCAGAGAGAATGTCGCCAAACATGTTCTCGGCCAACACCACGCCGTTCAGGCTGAGAGGATCAGACGCAAGCAGCATAGATGCCGTGTCTACCAAGACATGTCTGAGTGTCACTTGGGGAAACTCTTGTGAAAAGATTTCCGTCACCACGGACCGCCATAACCGCGATGTCGCCATGACATTCGCCTTGTCGATGGAGTGGACTGGCTTTGGTGGCGTGAACTGCATGGCATATGTGCCAGCCAGCCGCGCCAACCTCTGAATCGTCTGGCGGGAATATCTGGTCATGTCGTATGCCTCGCCGTCCTCTCCTGCTTCTTGCTTGGTTCCATAGTAGATCCCGCCGGTGAGGTCTCGAAAGAAGGTAATGTCAAGCTGCTCGACGACTTCTGCCCTGAAGGCACTCTGTTGGACCACCTGTGATGAGGGGAATCTGACTGGTCGGACATTGACGCTCGCGCCCAGCTCCTTTCTCAGAATCAACAGGCCCTCTTCTGGCTTGATGCCATACCGAGGATCACCGCACTGGCAGATTAAGGTAGCGTCGGACTGTCGGCAGCTATCTAGTGTCGATGGTGGTAGTGAAGTGCCAGCCCCTGCTGTGAGAGCTGCCCCTCCAAAGTCGTGAGTGGAGATGTTGAATGAAACATCTCGGCGGATGTGCTGGATCAAATTCAAGGTGCGTTCCACATACGAGGCAAGCTTGGGCCCTTGCCCGTCACCTGGTAGTAGGGCGACATGGAAGCTGTGACTGTCGATTGCTGATGGCATGTTGGGCAGCAACGAGATGAAATGCTTGTTCTACTCTAGAAAAGAACTATGGAGTCGAATTTACCCTTTAAGGACAAAAGATCACGGCCGACATCGGAATCATGAGTTTAGGAATGTGAAGCTGATGATAGCTGCTGACCTTTGGTAACGATGAGAGTCGATGTCGACAACGGACCGCCCTTATCCGGCCTTTGCCGTGAGGGCCACTTGGACGGAGTGGAGAGAGCGGACGACGCATGACCACTGGGATTGGATGCCGATCCGGGGACAGCCAGAATAGGAGTTTGCATGGTATTCACTCTGCTCCGCGATAGGCATATATGGTATTGGATTATATACTGTACATAGTGAACTAACTTACCCCCTATCGCCGGGAACAGAACCGCGTCAACCAACTCGTCAACATGACCCTGCTTACAGTTTCCGGGCTTTTCAAGAATCCCAATATGGTGCCTTTCCAAGCGCCTTGAAAGATTTTACTTTGCAAACCGTGTCAACCCGATGGATGCCCAGAACGATTTCTTCTTACCAGCCGTACCGCCGGGGGCCTGTACTGTATTCTGGAACACAGCATTGCCTGGTTGCTGACTTGAAGCTGAAGCTGAAGTCGATAACGGCCTAGTCCCGGTTGAAGACGCGGATGTAGAAGCAGCCGAACTACTGTTACGTCCACTGATCAAACTCGGCAGATTTAGAGCGGTTTGGGCGGCTGCTGATACAGGAGGCGTGGTTGTGGTTAGCGATGGTGGTTGAATCCTGAGCAGCGGCAGACCCGAGCCGGCGTGGGGCGAATTATACTCCTGTTGCCTCCGTTCTTCCTCTTGCAGCGCTCTCGCTTGCTGCTCCAGCGGCAGTTTGCGAATGCGGAAGAGGGCGTCCGTATGACGGGCAATCTCTTCGTCCCCCGGGTCGGCGAGGATCTGCTTAGTCTCAGACTTGCGGGTCGGGATGATGCCCAGCACAGAATCATCTCGGGCCGGCTGCCAGTCGCGGAAGCAGTCCCTGTAGTATTCAAAGACTTTGTTTTCCCAGAGTAGCCACTTGTCGAGGATGACGGCACACGGGATATCATCCATGACGTGGAAGTCGAGGCGGCGCATGTCCTCTTTGGCGAGGGTGACACCAAAACATAATTTGACGTCTCGGATGAGCCCACACGTAGATGCAATCGTACCGTCTATGAATTGGACCTCGATAGTGTGATCCTCCAGAATATCCAGACCGAGCTTCTGGCAGAGCTCCCGTGCTGTGCGACGGTTGATGATTGAAATATCCGAACAAGTGTCTGGGAGGCCGAGAACGGGATGGCCATTGAACAGGCTCAGCACCCGCGTTTCCGAACTAGCAGTGGCCGCAGGTCGGTCGATAAAGAGCACCTTCCGAGGCGCGGCCGCCGATATGCTCGAAAGGACTGCTTTGATGCGGTGTGCAAACTTGGAAAGGGTATTTGTCACGTTAAGGAAGTCCGCGCCGAGGACGACTTGGTGGACGCAGCCCCTCAGCACATGAAAACAGCGGTGATGCACCTCATTCTCTCCAGAAAAGATCCATGACGCCGTAACTGTGCCCAGGAACATACGCTCTTTGCCGTTTGGCAACCTAAAAGACCTCCCATTCCGGGTATCGATGTTGAGATTGTTCTCAATGGCGAATTCTTCAGAGATGATGTCAAAGCTTGAGCCCGTGTCAGGTATTGCGGATACAGATATGCCGCCTAGGGAGCCACGGATTCGAAGCTCACGCATCCTGACGGTGCGCTTTCCATCATGGTCAAAATCTTGGGGTGGGATAGGAATATCTCCTAGAGCCGGTTTCAAGGAATGGTCTTCCGCAACCTCCTTCTCCATCCGAACTCCTCTAGAGCCACGACCCTCTCTACCATTTGAGGAGAGCTCCGGCTGGGTCCGAGACCAGGGCTCCATGCGTTCGGGGTCGGGGAATGTGATCGAAGTCTGCTTCGATTCAGCTTCCTGGTCGGCTGAGGAAACTTGCCCCACTGGAGGGAGGTTAGCATGCAAATAAGGAAGCAAGAGCGGGAAGAGGGGGGAACACTGGGAGTGTTATCTGTAGCTTACCTTCATCATCTTTTGTAGGCGGTGTCAACTCTGACGGATCACCGCCATCCATCCGGCCTGATTCATGAGACTTCTTCGGATGCTTCGTCTGTTCGGTCAACGTCCCGATCTTGCCGTCTTTCGCTTTGTGTTTTTGTCGGTCTCTCTCGCGTTCCTCTTTAGGACGGCCCATCGCTCGCCCAACTTTCCAGAGAGTACTCTTCCCAACGTTCAGATATCCCGAGGCTTTAGTTTTAGCGTGGACAAGAGTCTCCAGGAAGGCAGCAGTAACTTTCCGGAGATTGTTCTCCCCAACGGTTAAATATCCCAAGGATTTATTCTTAGCTTGGACAAGAGTCTCTGGGGAGGAAGCAGCGATTTTCCAAAGATTGTTCTTCCCAACGGTCAAGTATGGCAAGGTTTTAATCTTCGCTTGGATAAGAGTCTCTGGGGAGGCAGCAGCAATTTTCGCCATGACTGGCACGACTGCGACTGACACGACCCATACTAGCCTTGGGAAGACCGGGTCCTCATCTAGCGGCGATAAAACCTTATGCGTGAGCGCAGCATAAGACTTGACCAGGGAGACGACCAACTTGACGAAGGGAACGACGAATAGCAGCAGCAAGATGCCACTGCTGGCCTTGTCAATGGTTCTGAGTCGGTGCTCGGATTGTAGGGACGTGGTGGTCTCGCCGTCGATGGCCTTCGGGCGAACTGCGGCGGCAAGAAAGCCGCCGTAGACCTGGGTACTCCGGTCTTCGTTTCTCTGGTTGAGCCTGGCAGGTTGCCGCTTCGTTTGCCGGTCGTTGGCTATGTGCATGGCAGCGGCGAAAACAAGGGTACGTACTACCACAGTGCCCATACCCTTGGCCGACCACCCATGGGACTGTTCTCCACGAAAGACGGCATTATATAAGCCTAGGGCAAGATTGGCCGCGGTCAGGAGGACAAGAACTCTACGCATGGTGCTGTTCTGGATTGTTGTCCTCAACCCCGGGATCCGGAAGGGTTGAGAACTTGAGGTGTTGTCGAGTCGTGACACGGCGGCGGAAAGCACAAAAGAAATATTGGTTGAGCGGCTTTTGGCTTCGAAGACTTGGCCGGTCACTTATGTATGGCGAAATTTATTACCGAGTTAAAGATAAACTTGCAGCTTAGCAAGGCATTCCGTCCAAACCAACAGAATTCCGACCCAAAACCGGGGCAGTCTTGGGGTATTGGCAAATGCACAGCCCCCTTCCAGGTAAGTTTTCCCCAGGCTTGGCAAATACACAGCCCCCAACCCAAGCAGCCTTCGTTGGGAGCCTGGCATTTGTTTGGACCAGCTGGCACACTCATTATATCAGATGATCCCCCCCTTGATGCAAGGAGGAAGCCTGTCAGCCCCGCAATCTGCCAACTGCCACCCCGCCATAGAATGAGGCTTGATCCTGGCTCAGAAGAGTGTCAGAAGAATCCAAAAGTTGCACCAGCCAGGGAAATTCGCATCCGAATCCATTAAAGCAAGCTTCTCTTCCCGCCTCACGCCGTCTTTTCTTGACGACGCCAGCTGTTACAGCGCCATGGCCGCAACAACAGATGTTGAACTTGGCCTACCGCAAGACGGCTATCCAGCCTTGGCAAACTGGATCGCCGCGGATCCCGATAGTGAGACCTTCATATTCCGCAAGTTCAACCGCCTGGCCGCCCGGAACCTGCTATACCTCCAGAGTGAACTCTGCACCCTGGAGGGGTCGCTGGAGAAGCTAGACAGTCAAATTGGCAAGGACAGGTCGCTCAAGATGTCGGCAAGGATGTGGGAGATGCTTGTAGAGAAGGCAGAGGACAACAATCGTCCAGAGTGGGAGTGGATGGAGCTGAGAAGGGATATCAAAGACAAACTAAAGGAGTATCGTCCGTGCATTCCTAGAAGCCATCTCAAGTACCGCGAAACTTGCTGACATGTTCCGCGTTTATAGATGAAGCTTTGATCCTTCAGTCAAGCATTGCAAATCTCAGCACGCCGCGCGCAAGCGTGCTCAGGCGGTTCGAGGACTGGTTCCGAGGCGGGGCCAGGGGCTCGCAGTACTGTATCATATCCGGCCAGGCGCAGGGCATCTTGGATGATGTAGACGACTTGGCCACGCTGAAACTCGTTGGCGAAGAAGACATGCTGTCGCGTTTTGTCCAGGATCACTGGCCGCTTAAGGTATGATAGTTAGACCTCGAGGCTGCGATGCCAGTAGGAAACAAGAACTAATACATATGCTACTAAAGGGACGTCCGGGTGCACACACCAAAGGCAACACTAGGTATTTCCACCTACGGCACGCCGCCGCGACCGTCGCCATGATCAGCACGATCGTCGCGGCCCTCGAGCTCATCGGCGCCATCCTAGGCTTGTACTTCGTGACGGACCGCGGGGCGCGTCTCGCTATGATTGCTGCGTTCGCGGTGCTCTTTGGACTTAGCCTACGCCTGCTAACCAACGCAAGGAGGGCTGAGATATTCGGCGCCTCGGCGGCGTATGCGGCCGTGCTCGTTGTTTTTGTGTCCTCGGATCTAGGCCAACCTCAACCTAGTTAATCACTATCTTACCATTAATCGCCCAGGTTCTACATATATATTTCCTCGATGTAGTACCCTTGTATATTTCTATCTTATCAAATAATATGTACATATTGCTTGGATGCAGACGTCTTGAGGAAGCAAATTCTCTTATCTTTTAAATCTAGGGGGTTTAAGAAGGGAGCCAGTAATAAGAGTAAAGCTTTTTTATTAGTACTGAAGGTAATGTTGATTTACAGGCGGCAGCGCACTTAACCTATGTCGAGCTTTGAGCCATGTTCCCGATTATCCCTACTAATAACGACTGGAATCATGTCCTCTTTTCACCGGCATGAAAACTTTACCAGAATGGATAGGAGATGGCAAGAGTATACAATCACAGGTACATGTGTATTCTAGTCACAAAGATGTATCCAGTGGTTTGGAATTTCTACAACATGGCTCGCAACAATAACTTGCTATCCTAAGATCTTCAATCCTTCCACTGGTGGCCATTGGCACCATTCGGCCTGCCTTCATACTGATACCTCTCCTCCAGCTCATAATACTTGTTAAACCCAACCCCATCACAGACCTCGGCATACGAAAGCACAACAGGCGGCGCCCCCGTAAGGAACGAACTCTTGATCCCCTCCAACGTCTCCCGGATACTCTTTAGTTTAGCCGCCACCAGCGACCACGGATACGCAACACCACAGTACCCTAGTTCGCCCAGCTCCTTGGCTGACAGATTCTGCGTCTTGCCGCCTTCGATAATGTTGGCAAAGACGGGGAAGTCGAGATCCTTGCGCAAGCGGGCCATGGTCTCCCGGTCAGGCAGGGCCTCGACAAAGACGGCGTCGACACCAATCTCAATAGCCTTGCGAGCGCGGGTGAGAGCTTCGTCGTAGCCGTGGATGAGGCTGTCGGTGCGAGCGAGGATCCAGATGTCTTGGCCTTCGTTTCGGGCGTCGACGGCGGCTTGCCAGCGGGCGTAGGCTTCGCTTCTGGATACGACGCTCTTGCCAGTCGTATGGCCGCAGCCTGTCATTGCTGTGTGAGCATGTATAGTAAATATGTAGTCTGTGTGTCGGTGAGATGTTCTTACGCTTTGGCCAGGTTTGGTCTTCAATCATGATGCCGGCAGCTCCAGCCAATGCAAATCTACCCCCAGTCAGCGACGATTTCGTAAACAGACTGACCGAAGCAACTTACCCTTGGACTGTCCGGCGCACATTCATCGGCCCGCCGTATCCAGTATCGCCATCGGCAATAATGGGAATAGTAGTCGCCCTCGCCACCTCCTGGATCTTGCCGACGACCTCGCCGTAGGCAATGTAGCCGGTATCCGGCAGACTAAACGCCGACGCCATGGCATAACCCGCGAGGAAAAGCACGGGAAAGCCTGCTTCCTCGCAGAGCCGCGAGCTCAGAGCGTCGTAGCTGCAGACATGGGCGACAATCTTGGCAGGGTCCTCGTGGGCTTCGCGCATCATGGCGCGGAGGCGGGAGGCCTGGATGGAAGGGGTCGATCCACGGCAGTTGTCGAATTCGACTTTGACACCGCCCTTGGCTCCATTGCTGGGATGGAGGGCGGGATATTTGCTTGCCTTGAAGGTGAAGGGGTAGGGGTTGGTGTTGACGATGGACTTGGACATTTTGGATGCTGTTAGGATTTGTCTTGAGTGTTGCTCTTTGCTAGAATCTGATGAATATCATCATACCCCCTCGCACTTATATACTAGACATGTCCGCATCACGCTCCGAATCCAGGACCGATCATCGGTGCCGGACCGGCGACCTGGGACAGCGTACATTATACATTTGCCGCGTGTTGTGGCATGTGTGATAATAATACCTATACTTGCAATGGCGCCGAGGTTCATAGATCTACATGCAGCCAGTATCAACCCAACTCATGGCTGGTCACATGACCCTTGCCTTGATACATTCAACTGAGAACAGCGATTGGGAGAATGCCTGCTACATGTTGATAAACCCTCCTCTAATCTAATCCTTCAAACTGGTCTACGTGATTGATCTCAATTGATTTTCTGGTTCTCGCCCTTGCTGGGGATCCCCGCATGCATCAGACATGGCGGCCGATGTGTCCGGGGAGAGCATTATATGGAGACTGAAAAGGTACCAATATATACCAGCTGCACTCAAGATATGAAGAAAAAACATAAGTACATTCCGGTCACGGCCATTAGATCGAAGCCACGGGGAATGAACTCTCCCCAGTCAGTGGACCGCAGCGGATGCAGCCGGACCGTCGCGGATCCTTGCGGTATTCATCGTCTCCCCTCAAAAACCCGCCTGTCCTCCAATGTCCGGACTGGGATTACAAGTCATACGCAGACATTGAGCAAAAGGAGATGGATCGAGGCTCCGACGCGTCCAGCAATCAGCGCTCCTTCAAACGGGGCTATGTCGCCTGCGTCTCGTGTCGAGCACGCAAGTCCCGGTGCATTGTCAAGGAGAAGCCGCCCTGCTCGAAATGCGCCAGAGAACATCGTGAATGCCGGTTTGATCACCGGCCGAGGGCCCCCAAGCACCGTGAACCGCCGAAATGGACCCAGGCTGAGCAGCCGTCAGACAGCGCTTCTAAGCAAGCCTCTCCTCACAGCCCAGACATTGCGCTGGACAACTATCAAGCACTGCCGCAGCATGTCCGGCCCTATGGGCATTCACCCGATAATGCCAACCAGACCTTGTATGACCGCGTGCGATCGACAATTGTCACTAGCACCAACGACGCACTGGATATCCTGTCTGATGCTGCGGGTCAACAGCATAGTGTTGCTGGGTCTACCCCATCTCAGCCCCAGCCGACGAATGCTTCTCGGAATGCTGGTCCAACCGTGATGCCCGGCGAGTATAGCGGTCTTGGGTTCACCATCACTGCATTGTCCGAGGCTGACGATGGCACTCTGGACATGTGGGACAAGTGTCGCTTTGTCCGCCAGGGATGGTTTACAGCCCAAGAGGCCATCACCTACATTGACTTGTAAGTTAGATTGCCACCGGTTCTATTATATCAGCGGCGGATTGACACTTTCAGATTCTTTGAGAAACTAGCGCCTATGACTCCTATCATCCTCGACCAGTTTCGCCCTCACGCTGCCCACGCGCGCCTAGTCTATGAAGAAGCCATGCTCTGCTGCACATTGTTGATGATTGCATCTCGCTTTTTCACGTTTCCTGGAGCAGGTGGCACTTCCAGGAGTCACTATGTCCATCAACGACTTTGGAACCACTGTGAGGTCTTGATCAGACGAATCCTCCTAGGACAGGAAAAGACGTCGACGTCACGAACCAGGACGATAGGCACCGTTGAAAGCCTGTTGCTGATATCTGACTGGCATCCCCGGGCCCTGCATCTGCCACCGGAAACCGACGGATGGGACGGCCTGCTCATCTCCCCCGAGTACGACCGCATCAATCGCAAGCACACAAACAACGAAGCCCCCCTCATCAGATGGCGAGAAGATGTTTTCGAACCTGCCAAGCGTGCTAACAGAATGTCCTGGATGTTGTTAGGCATGGCAAATAACCTGGCGTATGAGCTGGGCATACATGTACTCTCAAATCAGCAGCTCGACCTCTCACGACCGCTAGATCCGGATACCCTGCGCAGAATACGGGCGCAGAAGCTACTCTATGTCTATATGACGCAGACGGCTACGAGACTAGGCTATCCGCCTGCCTTTCCGGAAACTATCTCGGTTACGGCTTCCCACTTGCCCATGCAGAACACGAGTGAACCTTCTCATCACTCTTGGGCGGCTTACATGGATCTGACGCTGGAACTCACCCAGTTATCACGCACAGCTTCGTCCATGTTCTTCCAGTCTGCCTCGCATCTCCAGAATCAGGTGCTTGGCGGCCATTACGCCGACCTTTTGGAGCACTTTGCCAGCTCATTGGCCAAGTGGCAGCAGAAATTCGACTCTGTAAGCAAGGGTAAGCGACATTCCTCCCCTCAACAATCTATGTTGTCTTGGCTAATTAATGTAGACATCAGGAAACCCCTCAGAGACACCCTCCTCATCGAATTCCACCACCTCAAAGCCTGCACCAGCGCCATATCAATCCAAGCCGTCGTTGTGAGAGCGTCCTCTGCGGGATTCACAACAGGAAACACCGATGCAGACGAAGTCCTCTCCGGATTCATAACGCCCAAAGACGCTAAATTCCTCCAAGAAGTAATCGCAGCCACCAAAAGAGTCCTCCACATTGCCACCATTAGCGACTTCAAAGCCCAGTTTCCCTACGCCCCCGCCCGCGTGAAAATCAGCGTCATTTCCTCGTCAGTTTTCCTTCTGAAGGCGCTCAGCGTTGGTCCTACGCATACAGACGTCAATGATGCGCTGCATGTATTGGACCAGTGCACTTCTACACTGAGCTCTTCTCCTCCTGATGACATGGACTTTGCACTGAGGTATGGCGCGTTGATTGAGAACCACACAGCGCAGTTTCGTGCGCATCTGACTAGAGCGCCGGCTTCGGTCGAGCAATCTCGAGGGTCTGGCATGGGGTCTCAGTCTGAGGGGTCATCATCGGATCCCTTTACGGCTAATTTGAATGGACAGCAGCAGCAGGCGGAGAGTGACCTGGGGTTTTTCGGGTTTGATGGGAATGGGGGGGATATGTGGGTTTCAACACCGTTTGATTCGAGTATTGCGCCGTTTGGGGGAGGCTCGAACCAGGTTTCGTTGGGGTTGGATGTTGATTCACTTAATTTTCTGTGGAGTTTGCCTGGGCTGGGGACGGAGGAGTCTGGCTTTGAGTAGCTGAAGGGGCGTTGATGGGGGACTATAATGCTGACCGACGCTCACTGAGCTTATACTCGTAAGATGTTCGGGTTTGCTGCTGAAAGAGAGTGGCATAAGTATCCCAAAATGTCAAATCAATTACACTCTAGGTATGATTTATGTCAACCCATATTCTACAGCTAGGAGCTCGCCGGTCTGGGTTATTAAGAGTAACATAATTCCTCAAGTAGAGAAATCACAGCGTCCAGGGAACCCTCAGAGGGATGTGATTTTTCAGTGACTAGCCCAAATATTCTTAGAAATCCTTATTTGCCCATCCAGCACGAGAGCCTCCAGCAAGCAAGAACAGATTCCACCGGTCATATCGGGAGCGAATCCTGTTGAAGAGATCCCCCTCGCTCGTAGCAACCTCAAGCTCCTCCGCAAACCCATTGATGTAATCTGCCGTGCTTTTGAGCATACCGGCCGCTACATTCTCATCAGGAATCAAGGAGGGGGTAAATGTATGTCCTGGAACAATAATCTTGGGCTTCATATCACCAATCTGCTCCAAAGCCATGAGCCATTTCCGTCGCTTCTGGGTGTCGGACGCCTCGCCTAGCCACTGGTGACAATCGCCGTTATAGACTATATCGCCTGCCGCTACGAGATCTAACTCAGGAACATGAATGAACGAGTTAGCGTGGGTATCGCCATGGGAAACATCATGTAGCGTGAGCATATGGCCGTCGATGATGAATTCGTTTGATCCTGGGAGAGCCTCGAAAACTGACTTGGCCTCGGGCAGGCCGGTGCCATCCTCGGATGGGGGAAAGTTCTTTTTCCAGAGCGCGTCCATAATGGCAGGTGACTGTTGCTGGTTGATTCCCTCAACCACGGATTGAGTGGCATAGGCCTTGAGTCCTGGAAAGTGTTCCTCCAAGACAGGAAGACCCAAGAAATGGTCTCCATGGGCGTGCGTGCAGATGAAGTATTTCAAAGTGCTGCTAGCGGACAGCTGAGACTTGACCCATACTGCTACCTCGTGTGTAGCTTTGATACTAGCAGGGCAATCCACCAAAAGCGCAGACGTCTCAGTGTATAATAGAGTGATCGAGAGAGGCGACCACAGGCCAGCGTCCCGAGAAGAGGGGTCTGGACTTGCGGCGCTGGTTGGAATGGGCTGACAGGTGTAGATCGAGAAGTTGAGAGCCATGCTACGCTGTGAAATTTGTGCCAGCTTTCTTGTGTTGTGGGAAATTGTAAGTGTGGGTGTTAATGGCAGACTTTCTAAGAATCAGAATGAGACTGAGTATGAAACTGACACAACCACGCCGGATTATCAATCCCAGGACGGGTGAGGTAGGCTTCGAAATACGAGGGAGCGAATTTGAATTAAATATTTGAATTGGCGCTCTCGCATTTATCCATTTCCATTCCTCGGAACCTTGATGTTTCTGGCAACGGACACGGCATGTTATGTCATAACCCCGAGCTGAAGTCGACGAATGTCACGAAATGTCATTAAAGTTTGATTACCAATATGGGCTACAAACTAAGGAGAAAGGTGCCAGCCGAGGGCTACATGACACTGAGATGCGTCGAAGTGAATAAGTATTTGAGAAGCGCCTGCCCGGACACATCCTACTTGTAAACTTGAGCAGTATTGATCAATCCTCACCCTCGCAAACGAACTTCTGCACCACATCATCCTTCTGCTACTTCATCCATCTACCATCATCATCATGTCGATTCGAAAGGTGGCTATTATCGGAGCTAGTGGGAATGTTGGCAAATCTACCGCTCAAGCCCTCTTGCAGGAGGGTTTCGAAGTCACAGGCTTGACTCGAGAATTATCAAAAACCACTGCTCCCCAAGGCATTAAACTTATCGAGACCGACTACTCTGAAGATTCGATTATCGCAGCCCTCAAAGGTCATGATGCTGTTGTCAGCACTGTCTCTAGTATTGCCGTTGGTCAGGCACTGGCCTTCCAAAAGACAATTGTCGATGCCGCTATCAAGGCAGGAGTTAAGGTTTTCATTCCCTCAGAGTTCGGTATCGACACAGCAAATCCCAAAGCGCCCAAGATTGTTCCTTTCCTTCAGGATAAGGTCGACACTCTCAACTATATCAAGAGTAAACAGGGCAGCATTTCATGGATCGCCGTCATCACTGGATCAATGTTTGATTGGGGCCTGAATATTCCTGGATTTGGTGGGTTCAATGTTGGAGCACGGACTGCTACGCTCTTTGACGGGGGCAATGTCGCTTATGAAGCCACCAACTTGGACCAAGTTGGGAGGGGGATTGCTAAAAGTTTGAAGAATATCGACGTCACGCGTAATCAGTATGTCTACATTAACAGCTTCACCGTGACACAAAACGACGTGCTTCATGCTCTCGAAAGGGCTACGGGAGAGAAGTTCGAGGTATCTCAGGGGACTGCCCGTGGCCTTTGGGAGACAGGCGCTGAGCAGGTCAAAAACGGGAACCCTCTGGGCACACTGGCTCAAATATCTAGTGCCATATATGGCGAGGGAGGCGCCGCCAACTACTCGGTTGACAAAGGACTGTGGAACGGCAAGATTGGATTGGAAGGCGAGAACCTGGAAGCTTTTGTCGAATCTTATATCTCCAAAACTTGAAATTGTTTTGAGGAAACCAACATAGCCATAGATACTCATGTGTCACAAGTTACCGAATCTCACTGCGTTAACAAGGTTCAAGTCGATCCCTCAGTCAAACCCACAACTTGCAATTGAAATCAGGTGATTCATTTTAATCATTCAGATCAGCTCTATCAGCGCAAATAAAAACATGGCGATCGTCAAAAAGGTTGGGCACAATCCTACTCTGAGAAGTACTTTTCCACCAGACTTGGACTGCCTCATTCTGCCTCCCCAAAATTCCAATGTAACTTGAGACACGACATAATAGTCGTATCATTGTTACACGGCTTTTGTAGGAATCATTTCGCTATTCTTGGTGGTATTTCATTGGCTCATGATGACCTGGAGCAGGGGCTTGACAGGGACTGACCCTGCACAGTCGCCACAGTCACCCCGCCTACTTGTGGCCTCCCCTTAATTGAAAGATCAGACCATCATGGACTTTCTTTTTTCAGGTCCGTCTCTGACGAACCATTGGCAATATTCAACATCTTGGAAGCCGGATGGAGGCAAATACAAAGCGTCATAGGCTTCCTCTCCACAGAGTCCTCCTGCTAGGAAGTGGTGGAGTTGGCAAGACATCTCTCTGCAACAGTTTCTGTCTTGGTCATTTTGTTGACACGGTAGGTGGCACCTGCATCGAACTAATGATTCTGGTTAGGCTTACAAACAACGACGGGATATAGTTCGACTCTAGCATCGATAATGGCTACCGGAAGGAGATCGCGGTTGATGACAAGCCATGCGTGATCCATATCTTCGACAAAGGTGGCCAGGCTGAACATCTGACACTCAGACAGGAATGGATTCGAGAAAATACGGCCTTTATACTTGTTTTCAGTTTCTTATCCAGGGAGTCGTTCGAGAAGACGAAGAAGCTGTATCAGCAGATACAGTCCATTAAAAACGCACCTTTTCCATTGATACTCGCCGGAAACAAGAGCGATATCAAGCCGGAATTATGGGAAATATCTTCTGAAGAGGCAAGGAGCTTGGCAACAGATTTTGATTGCGAGATTATGCAGACATCAGCCAGATACGACGAAAATGTAGAGGAAATGTTTCATAAACTCATCGCAATAGCCTTTAACCTCGAAGAACGAAATCGAGAACATGCGAATGATTCTCAGAATCATCCTAACGCCCAATTGAGCATCGACGACAAAGGCTCACATGGCGACGGCGCCAGGGACGATAACACAAAGGACACCTCAGGGGATACAAGCGAAAGAATATTCGAAACAAACTCGAGCACTATCATCAATCACACGAATTTATTACGGCACACTGATCACGCCACCGAGCGGGTGGATGATTCAATGCCTAGAAGCAATTATAGGGAAAGGACTGGCTGGAGACACCGTTTCTCAAATTTTCTGAGACATTTGTGACGGGTTTTATGAGGTTTTATTTGGGAATATAAGACCTTGTTAGACATATATCAACAGGCTCTGGCGATGTAAACCAGAAGGCGTCAAGGCTGCAAAGACTATCGGGAAAAAGGAAGCATTAGTCATTGAAGACAGTTTCTCCTCTATTCATTAATATCATACCTAATTTATAGTATGCCAAAGTATCAAGTATTCCTGAAGTGTCTGCAGCCCTCGGTATTCAATAGTGCACAGGAAATGACATACAATGCTTTCAAGATCAGATGGCTCTTAGGTATTGAATAGGTGAGAATTCAAGCAATAAGCTTTTCTCGAACGAAGTTAGCTTGAAACTGCTGGCGATAAGATGCAATCAATATAAGAATGACCTTTTCATTTAAAAATAGCCATGTTGATTGGACAATCAATTTGTTCTTTGAAGCTTCAATGGCCTTGGTCTGACATGACACGATCCAGTGAAAGATGGATATTGCATCGTGATCGAGATCTTGTATTGGGAAATAGATCATATGTGCGTTTCCTTTCCTTGTTAAAACTCTCGTATTTATGCCGCTGAAAATGGCCGCTCATCTCGACCAAGACTGGAATATGCCGCGTCAAAAGAGGGGTTCCCAAGCAGGACATAGCCGAATGTATTGAGACTATCGAGACCGAGTATATCTACGGCATTTGTCAGCCACCATCAATAAATGACGGAATGCTCGGCTGGATTTCTAATCACTATCAATATCCACATCGCACGTGCTCATGGTTGGGGATAGCATCATCTTGTACTTCAACCCCGCACGAGATCTAGGTATCCTAGAGGATATAAAATCAAGGTCGACGTCTAAATATTTTCTTTTTTTATTTTCTCGAGCATTTCATTATTTGTTCTCTTCTATCCAGGAACACACTTGTCTATTACCCACATATCCAAAATGGCCGCTGCTTCAGATAACAAAATCATCCTCTACACCAACCACAGGGTAAGTCTCTGGCATGAAGGTCAAGCAGAAGAGAGTCTAACCAAAAATCTTAACAGTGCCCTTGTATGTAGTCGGATATTCCAAGATTCTCCGTGATGCCAATTCTAATTTTGAAAACATTGATAAGGGGCTCACCGCGCTCATATCGTCCTATCTGAGCTCAACATCCCGTTTGAAGAAGTCATCATCGACTTAGACCGCCCTCGTGACCCTTGGTACCTCGAAATAAACCCTCGAGGTCTAGTTCCGTCAATCAACTACAACGGGACTATCCTCACAGAGTCGGGGATCATCTCTCAGTTCCTGGCCGATGAGAACCCTTCAGATTTGCTCCCAGCTTCCAATGCGCCTGGAGGCGCTCTGAAGCGCGCGCAAATCGGCTTTTTCGTTGACACGCTATTCTCCAAAACTCAGGGACATCTTTTCAAATTAGGCTCTGTTAATTCTGAAGCCGAATTTGAGAAGTTGTCGGGCGACTATGTCGCTGCGGTAGCCAAAGAGGTTGAGCCGCTCCTTAAAGATGCAGCACCCTTCTTTGGTGGGAGCAAGAAGCTCACCTTTGCAGAGGTAGATATGCAATCCATGTCGCTTAACAACAATTTAGTACTTTGTTTGGTTTGCTGATTCATTCTTCGCAGGTTCTCTCGGGCTCGTTCATTATCCGTCTTTTGACGTTGAGTTCAGCTGGTGTCTATCCTGCCAGCATTGTCTCAGGCCTGAAGGAGAAGGCCCCGAACTTTTATAAATGGGCTGAGGCGATTTCTGCACACCCAAGTGTGACAAATATTTTCGACAAAGATACAATCATTGAAGGATCCAAAGCCAGGCTTCAGAAACAGCGAAGCCAGATCTAGAAAGACATAGGGTGAGGTTGAGCAGGAGGCAGCACTATTTTAACATTCAGTCCTCCATTATTTGATATTATAATTAGCCATACCGGCTTTCTTTCCTATGAGATTTCTTGATTCCCCATCGTTCATTTTCTGCACTTAGTCCCTGACTCTCAGTAATTGAGATAAACGTGACCTAACTAAGTGATCTGATACCGCCGACATTAGAGCTCTAAGTAGCTAACCGCAGCCACGGTTCCGAGCAGATAAGAGGTAGAGTTTGCCATCATTTCAATTTCCCCGGCACAGCTCTTTGACGCTCTCAACGAAGATCTTTCTACCAATGTTTGTTGACAGCATCTTCACCATCAATAGAAATAATTTTTATTTCTGGCTCATCGGCCATAAATGACTCCCAACATACAGATGATGTAGAAGGCTTGGAAAGGCTTCTTGTAGCCAGATGTCCCAATATATTTTATTTAAGTTGCTCATTTTTACTATTGATGCGACGTTGGGCGGAACGTAAAAATGAGAAACAATGGTGCAAGCCATAAACTATGCACTACAAACACGTATGACAGACCTCTAGCTCAAATACCTCTAGTTTAAATGAATCATATCATTACTACCCGGAGCGAAAGTGATACAAGGTGAATTTCTCGGTAAAGATCAAGTTAAATTCAATAATTGCTATTTCTTCTACTTAGATATGTGTCGTTTTCTATGCAAATGGCTTAATAGCATATCACGATCCAGGGTAGGTAGGTACTGCTGGCGTGATGCCTGGGGCAAACGAATACTCAAGCACCCCGATTGCTCTGCGGAGAAAGACAATCAATCTTTTTTTGCATCAGTACCATTAGGGCATGTAATCATCGCCATAGCGCTCTAGTCCCCTGCCGCAACAGGGGGGCGGGAAGGCCGACATCCAGAACAGTTAGGTAGCATTGACACCTGTTTGCCACAATACGGAAGGCGCTTATCGAAGAAAGATCGCGTTGAGTATTTATTGGTGAAAAAGAATTTATTATATCGAATTCAACAAGCCCTGAAGGGCTGTTGACCTCATCACTCATTTGTGTCATAGATGGTGACATTTTGTGAGCTAAAATCGATTTCTTGTCGGTTAAACAACGGCTTTACTTGTATTCAAAAAATAACCCTACCCTGGATGCTAAATTGTAGGGAGCGTAGGGCGATATAGCGAATCAAGATGCCCTGAGAGGACTGGCTGGAGCTTCATGTAAAGTGCTTTGAGTGCACGCACAGGTATTCTTACTCCATATTAATAATGACCACTTCAGGCAGCTCGATTATTGTTGCTTCCTACACCAGATTAGCAGCTCTATGAATAAAATTGCCACATAAATTACTTATTCTAATGAGCGCACTTATGTTTCACTCGTTATTTATGTTAGGTAAAGCGAATCCTGCCTGCAAATCATGGTAAATGGTGTCGATGCTTGAGACAGTCTAGGGTAGCTCTTATCAAATCACGTGCCATTCATTGCCAATGTTTTTCTTCATAATGTTTTTCATTAATTCACGTGCTCTCAGTTTCTCGTATTTGTGCACACTGAAGCAACCCTACCTGGGTGTTCTGGGGAATCTCACGTCCTGGATCCGGGGAAAGAAGAAGCCCATGTACTCCGTAGATTTGAGTTTAAATGTAAGGATGCTAACATGCAGCAACCCGTCAATCTATGGGGGAATTGCGGTCTATCCGTGGCTTGCTGAGATTGAAATTGAATATTTGCCGGGGAGGCTTGCGATTCATGCCGATCCCAAGTGATGCTTACGTGCTTCTTGAGTACTGCACGTACCAACAGAGCTGAGGGAGAGAGATGAGAAAAGTCAGGCCACACCGCGCGCTGCCCGAGGTGTTACCACGTGTGGCCAACCACCGTGACGTGGTACCAGCCAAGCGCCCGAGACTTGTTGGTAAGAAGATCGCAATTAATAGTGGGTAAAGCGACTGTTGGTGGACTGGCAATGCTCAGCCTCGGAGGTTGGCGTTCGTGGCTTAGGCCTGTATTGAAGAGACGGTGAGGCCGGACAGCACTTGACATTCAATAGAGGGTGGCTGAGGGGGAAACACATGCATCTTTTCCCGCGGACAGACCGAGGGGCTGGGTTCGTGCACTGGTAAAAGGGGGGACAGAGTGAGTGAACCATTAGGGGAGGGAAATCTAGCACGGTGCCGAACAGAGCGCGTAGCTGGCAGAAGACCTTCGAGATTATGGCGTGGTACAGCAGCTACCAACGAAATGTCTCACTGCAGAAGTCGTGGCAGCACTCAGCTCGCTTCGGGCCATTGTTTGATCCAAATTAAGACGGATGGATTTGTGCCTGAGCATCACGGAAGTGTGCCTGGATATCCCCTGCGGTGCCTGCGTTAGCGCTCTCTGTTGGCTGCCCGTTCTCTGCTCTGACAGGCTGATCATTACTCAGTCATGACTTGTGTGCCCTCGGGGATCCAATGATGGGAGGCGAAGTCTGCCTGTGATTAGTGCGTGGAGCGAGCCACGTCGCTCTCGTCTTGCAGCTTGCTGACTGGGCCGCCGCCGAGCTGAGTGAAAAACCTTATGCTGCACCCTGGTGGAGCATCAATGCAGGGGCAGGGCCAGCTGGGTGCCAACTTGCGTGCTTTTATTCGTGTTGGCGCTGATCATCGTCGTTTCCCATTCGCCAAGGCCTTTTTCCGTCGTGAGCCAGTGCTCTCGGTCCCTTTGAACCCCCTCCCCTCGCTCTGCAAGGTACACACAGGGCACGGGTAGTCTCTGATTGGCTTCTCTAGAATACGTTGTACGGGGCACAGCCGTTGGCGCTGGGATGAATGAAGGTCGATGCTAAGAGAGTTTGATGATTCTTCCCAAGGTAACTCTGCGTTCGGGTCTTGGTCTCCAGCCATCGCTTTCCCCAGATCCGAGTGAGTGTCTGGATCTCGAGAAACTCGTGGCTACGAAAGAACTTTGCTGGGAAATTTGCCATAAAAAGGTGAAACGGTCCGCTTTTTCTCTCGGAAGTGACTTGCCAAGAAGAGGAGTCGCACTGGCAGCACGGATCAGGATGCAGGATTGGCTCCCTCTGAGTAATAGGAGCCCCTGAACCCTGCTCGATGGATGGGAAAAGGCCCACAGGTGCATGTGCTATTCATTGCGAATCTATCGAGCCGGCAGCCCGGGCAGGAAGCTAAGGCAGAGTCTGAAACAATGAACCCTGCCATCATGTTGGGCAGAGAACTCGCTCGGCGCACTGCGGGAGGAGATATATAAGCTCCCGCCCAAGCATCAGCTTTGCTCTTCTTTTCCGCTGTACGATCTTTGATTAGGTTACCTGGCAGGCCACACTCCTTCGGCTCATTTTTTGCTTTGAAAGCATCTCATTCATTTCTACGATTCCAAGTGAACGTATCCATTCTCTCGATCTTCGATCTCCAGCTTTGCAAGCAAATCTCGACCAATCCTTCTCGAAACCAAGCCAGCTTTATCAACAGAACCACAATCAAATTTCATAAAGATGTCTTTCTTCAAGTCTCTCCTTCTCGCCACAGTCGCTGCTACGTCAGCCGTCGCCTACACTGGTGACATGACCTACTTCAACCAAGGTCTGGGATCATGCGGTCAGGTCAAGACCGACGCCGACGCCGTCGTTGCTCTCTCTGCCGCCGATTACGGTGAATGGGCCAACCCCAACCAAGCAACAGTCTGCGGCAAGTGGATCAAGATCACAGCAAACGGCAAGACCGTCCGCGCCCAGGTCTGGGATAAGTGCCCCGGTGGCGAGTGTGTATCAGGCGGCATCGACGTCTCCCCAAGCGTCTTCACCCAGATTGCCGACCTTTCCGTTGGCCGTCTTACAGTCTCTTGGGAGTTTGAGGAAGGCTCCGGTGGCGGTTCACCCGATCCTACCACTGTCGCCCCGGCCCCAACCCGCGAGGCTCCTGCGCCCACAAGCGAGGCTCCCGTGCCTACTACCACCAGCGAGGTCATCATCGTCCCTACCACCACCAGCGAAGTCATCATCCCTACTACCACCAGCGAGGTCGTTGTTCCCACCACCACCAGTGAGGTCGTCGTGCCCAGCTCTACCAGCGAGGTTGTCGTGCCTTCGTCTTCCAGCTCTTCCAGCACCATCATTGCTGCTCCCACCACCTTCTCGACCCGCGTGAGGCCCTCCACCACCAGCCAGGCTGCCCCAAGCACCACCTCTCTCCCCGGCCAAGTGCTGGTCGAGACCAACAGGGTCAAGGTCGTTGTCGTGACCCACTGGGTGACTGCCACCGTCACTGACAACGGTGCTGTCCCCACCTCTTCTTCTTCTTAAGCACATAGCCTTTGACTTCATCTGAGATGGAGTTGTATTTTAACATTATTTTGGAAATGGAAAAAGCCTTTGATTGAATTTTTTGCATGACATGAAAGCCTCGATACCTGCTACCGTGATACCTAATCAAGATTTGCCATCAATACTACCACGTAGCATACTGTGACTTGGACCTGTAGACATTGACTGAAACAGTGAAATTAATGCTATCTTCCTATTGGAGAATAACACTATTGCTTGCGCGGAGCAGTTAGATCAGTTGTCGCTTGAGATCTTGCCATTTGGGACGACGGACGAGGAGTTGACTGACCTGGCAACCTTGGATGCGCGCGGGCAAATCCCCCATCTCAACGGCGCGTACCTGCTGCGCGATTCTTGAAACCAGTGGCGCGATTGACCGGGTACGCACAGCGCACTCATTACTTATTCTTTTTACCCGAGCTCGTGGCAATCGGCGTGGCGAGCAGTTTCATATCTCGCTGACGCAGCAAGGCCACAGCCGTCGCGACGGGTCCACCCAGAGCCATCAGCGGGAGGGACTTTGCAATTGTTTTGGGCATCTCAGAACCTCCGAGGACTCGGGATGCATGTGTCGATGACCATATCAATAATGCGGCACCGGCGCAGTAGAGGTCCCATTTGAGGAAAGTGATGACAATGTCCTGGCTGGCGGATGCTGAGACCGGCGGGTTGAACAACGCAAACGTGGGAGGGTGTGACAGAGAGCCCGGAATGAAAAATCCCTTCAATGTAGCCGAAAGACTTGACTGTGATTTGAGTAAAACGGAGCTGAAATGCAGGAAGTACGTACTCGCGGCCAGTAAGAAAGCAAATCTGTAGACCCTGTTCAGAGCTCTCTTGTAGCTGTCGCCGCGTTGGTCAACAACTATGTTCTTCTCGCCTTCCTTCAATATCTTTCGAGAGCGCATGAAAGGATGGACGGCTGATTTTAGCAACGGAAAAAGCTGCCATACGCTAATGGCGTAATAAGCAGCCTTAGGCGAGATAAGACCAAAGAGCGGGAGAATAAGGCCCAAGGTTGGAAGAAGGTATGTAAGGGCGATTGTTCTGGGAAGTGCTTCAAGGTCTTCTATGTCGACTGCCGCGTAAGTCTGAGTTGTTTGAGCGGGAGACAGATATAACTGAGAGATATAGTAGATTGGGGAAAAAATGGTGACCGTAAGAGCTTGGAACATCATTCCCCACAGACCAGTACTTCGAGTTGAACGTGAGTTGATACAATCCTTGATATTTGACGGGGGAAAACAGCTTACTAGGCGACAGCGGTGCCTTGATTGCCCTTTCGTAGTCCTTCAAGAGAGATCATGGTCCAGATAGCACCATATTGAGATGTCCAGCAGAGAGTGGCTACAATGTCCTCGAAGCTCTCTACCCCGCCGGGATTCATTCTCGGCAAACCCTGCTGGAAGAACTCGACTAAGAGGGCGAAATTCTCGTCGATAAATGGTACTCCAGTGAATTTAGGCATTTGAGAAGCATGAGGAACATGAAGTTTGCACTGGCTTGGCTTTGTTGCGCTGGGGTAGACACATTCTCTGAGGGCATCGAAGAAGCCCTCTCTGAAGGAAGTATACATGGCCCCATAACCACCAAGCAATGCGCAGGACAAGAGCAAAACGGTCGGTATCAGGTTTTGTTTAGCCATCGTGGAGCAATATGTTTCTTGAGTTCCAGCGGAATAGAATGGAATTGTTTGAGTTGAAATATTCCGAGGTTCGAGATTTAGTCGTGGTTGGAAATCAGTTGGTTATTTGATGTTTTAATATGAGACCTGCAGGCCAAACAGTCGAAACTGTAGGGCGTATTAGTGATATATATACAGTTTCACATTCATCACGTTAGCGCTTCTCAAAGTTGAGACTAATTGATGCCGCTCTGTTCAGCCGTATCCGTGTGGCTGCTAGCATAACTCTTAGGTTCAGCTTTCGTACAAATAAGCTTAGCCTCGCTGTACCGGTGCTACTTGGGCCATCTGGGGCTGATCAGCCGACCCCAAATCGATGGTCTTTGTTATCGCCGGAGGTCTAGAGCAGTCGGTTGCCTTGCACCCCTCTTCTACCATGATATCATAATGACTGTTGAAGCTGGGGCGTGTATGATTGTTCTGGCTCTGGTGATGTTGCTCTGACCACAACTTTCATGACTGGTAGGAGCTTAATATGGCCCATTTGCTTAACTCTTTGCCATTTTAGCATTTAGAGGCATATTTCTCACTACATAATGTAATAGCTTGTGAAGTGAATATGCCTCTGTTCACTGTAAATATTCTCCTACGAGATTCCTCTATCTAGCTAGCATTGGGGGATTTTTTCATCATGAAAGGTCAAAATCTTGCCCAATTCATAGATCTTACCAACTATCCCATATCATGACGGAACTGATGTCCATATTGTCATCACCTCGAAAGAGCCCAATGGGATAGAATATCCATACACATTGGCTCTCTGGGGTCTAATGGTTTTCGGTCTTGCTTGTTTTCTAATTCCAAATCAGTTAACGAGCATTACGTTTTGATGGAACCCCACAGCGAGCTCCCATTCTTTTACTCCTTGCTCTACGGACCCTTGTAGATCCCATTGGAATATGAAGACCCATCCCGAGAGGCAAGCCAGCTGTAAGTCAAGGACCAATTCAGCCAACTGTTAGTCATCAACAGCGTAATTGGTTTAGTGGTAAAATTCTCCGTTGCCATCCGAGCAGCGTCGGGGAGCCCTGGGTTCGATTCCCAGATTACGCATTTTTGTTCTTCTGGAGCATTGCTTTTGCCGTCTTATTCCTTTTTATCATTGTTTGGCTATTCTCTTTTGATTTAGGGCCTCAACTGGGCTAAAAACCGGACTTGGAGCTACGAGTCTACCTCCAATAATGGCAATTTTGCCTCTATTTCGAGAAATTCAACGAGAATCTCATTATATTTTTCTTGAATTGATCTAATTGTGACCAAATCATGGAATGTGTGTGAAAAGTGTGGACAGTGAATCTGCAAGAGAGTTACATCAATGTCTCGGTTGACCAGCAACCAGCAGTTTGGGCCTAAGAGAGATCAATCGTATCTAATTCAAGGACGGTGTAGTGACTGGTATTGTTCACTGCTTTGCGTCTCTCGAAGCCTTCTTATATAATATTCCCTAGTAGAAGTAATTGAGATATAAGAGAGCGTGGATGTTTTTCCTATCGTACACCAGATTATGTAGTTAATGGTGTCCCAGGTGTGTAGGGTAACCTTCGGTATGTTTTGATTAGGTAAGACATCCTGCCTGAAATTAATGGATTTAGTGAGCTCCCCCACCCAACATCATTCCATGTTCTTAACCAGATCAACCTTTCATCACCATCGCAGCACCAGCATTCAGTTATCCTATCCATCGGACAAAACAAAGCCGATTTGGTAATAATACTTTCGCTGACTGTTGTGGGCATCATGGTCGTCGTCAGCGATCTGCCCTGCGAGATCATCGCCCAAATTCTCGAAAACCTTGGTCACGTCAGAGCCCTCTCACCTGTCAGGCTCGCCTGCCGACATTTTGACGTTTCTTTCCGCGAGCATAGGACCCGAGTATTGCGAGGTTTGCTTCGAACCCAAATCCATGGGGATATACTCCCATATGCCATCGCTCTGGAAATAGAGAAGCCAGCTCTTGGCTCGTCCGCTCTTACCAGCTTCATTCAGACCCTCTATGACAGACCACAAGACATTTGCAGTCGCCTAGGTCAGCTTTCAGTCGAGAAGCTCTACTCCATCTCGCGCACACATGAAGCAATCAAGACGCTTGCTACCGAATTCTCACAGCTTGCCTGGTTCTTCGCTTTGGCAACCCCCTCCCAGTCTGGATATGCATTGCCTGGATATGCACTACCCCAGGCCTCTATTTCCGCCACAGAGAACGTCCGAATTTTTCGTGCCTTCTATCGTGTAGAATTGTTTCTCAGATTGTATGGGCAAATTCTTCCTGTATCTGAGGTCCCACGAAAAGACGGCCCTGTCTGGTTCTACGGGCAGCATAATCCTTGGGAATGCCAACAAAACTTGGCCGTCTACGAATTCCTGGACGACACCGTTATGCTTGGTAAGGTCTAAGCCATAGAATGATATGATATGGGGTTCCTCTCATCTGACGAGTTAACTATAGTCTCCAGCAGGTTTGGTACATCATCTATGAGTAGCGATGAGTCTAAGCTATTCCACGAGCTCTCGGTAAGTGTTGATATCTGGCTGAGCATCGCAAGGTTTATCTGCGAGAAGAATAAACTAATACCCTCAAAACAGATGACACAAGGTGTAAGGCTTATTAGCCATGTCAGAGAAAAGTTCCCCATTTCTTTATCCGAGCAGGAAATGATATCGGTCTTTGAGAACATGCTGCAAGAGCCCTGGCTTGATGTGGATTCACCAAGACATGATTGTGATCTATCAGAATACAGTGACCACAATGATAGTCTAATGACGGCGCTACCCAGATCCAACCCCGAATATTCTCATAGAGACAATGCAGTAGAGAATAATTGGGCGGAAACTTACAGGCACCGGCAAGGGATTCCAGATGAGATGCAGATGCGCGATCTCCGCAAGGCAGGCTTCGTATTCTGGGACCAACCTTGCGAAGAGCGGATTATGTGCCCGATGACAGCAATATTTGACCTGGTTTCCGCCCAGGCCGAAGAGTCTGGTTCGGAAATTGATTTTGATGAGGACATATTTGTTGATGATGATGGTGATTATGCTAGGGAGTTCGGGCTTTGAGGGATGTTACCTCATACATCGAGCCATGAACCTACCACTAATTACTCTGATAGCCAAGGTTTAGCAGGATGTTTAGGTCATAATCAAAACGAGATTAATGTGCCTCGTCTGTGCCACTTGTACTAATAGTCTGAAGTAAACGCGTGCTCCAATTAGTTATCTATAAGGCGCTTAAGTACTATGAAAACCTATGCGCAGTCATTTTTCGACTAATATCCAAGAGCTCCAGCGGCGTTCTGAATCATCCAATTGATTCCCTCAGCACGGAAGTCATCAAATTCTATGTAATTTCCATCCAAATCCCAGACGATCTCCTGACCAACACCTCCTCCGGTGGAAGGGTCATATTGTGGCCAGCTCTGGCTATTGGTGATGTTGAAGCCACTTGGACCGTTTGGATCAAGACTAACGAAGAAGTTGATCCATGCCGTCGCCATTTGATCGGACACGGCCTTGGCCTTGCTCACATATGGCTCTTCGCCACCGAATGGGGGAGTGGGCATTCCGTCCGAGTTTAGATTGTGGAAGACGAATGCAACCTGTACCGAAAGTGTTAGAATTATAATTCCAAAGCAGGGGTGGTTGAATAGTTGTACCTCTTTGAAGTGGGAAGCACCAACGTAGGGCTTGATACCGTTGGGGACAACGTCAAAACGATATGCCCAGCTTGGAATACCGTGCCTGTGCCATGCGATGTTTGCTCTTCTTCTTGCCCACTGCATCCTGAGATCTCCCCAGAACGCCGTGGTCCGTCGGTACTGCGCGCCTAGCGCCTGAGCATAGGAGTCATTTTTCTCAATAATATGCGGCCACTTCTCAAGTGAAGGTATCCCGACAGCCTGAATGTTGGGGTAGACATACATTATCTCGTCTACTACCTCATCCACAGTTTTATTTGTCGTCTGCCCCAAGACGACGGAGGTGAGGGCTTCTCTCATATCAGCATCGGTATTCACAAGTCTGCTGCCTGGAAGAATGCCCTTGTTCATATCAGAGCCCTCATCCGTGTTGGCCCCGACCAGGATTGGAACCTTTACAAATCTTCCATCTTCTAATTGATTGGTGGAGAAGTCTTGGAAGAAATCACCGTCTATGATGGGGGCGAAACCGCTGACTTTGGTGACATTGAGAGCATAATCCATTTCCGCCCTTGGCAGCTTCTTGAGACAGTCCAAGCTTCCAGACTGGCCTACCAATGGAGCACAGGTGGTGTTTGCCACCAGATTGTTGTAAATCTTATTGGCGTTCTCGGAGGAAGTGAGTCCATTCGTAAAGCTGGTGATGGTTGCTCCAAAGCCAGATTGGCCGGCAGCTGCGCGGAAGAGCTTATCATCACGGCCTGGTAACAATTAGGACCAGAGGAGCATGAATTTAAGAGAACAAGAGGTGATCGTACCATTATAGGCAAACATATGGGCAGTGACACTCATAGCACCTGCACTCTCGCCCCAGATTGTAACTTTATCTGGCGAGCCACCAAAGGCCGCAATGTTCTCGTTGACCCATTGTAGGGCGAGACGCTGATCACGGTAGCCATTGTTGCTGATCCCAGCTTCAGTGGCCTCTCCCCCGGAAAGGAACCCATAGGCACTGAGTCTGTAGTTGAAGCTTACCGCGACAATGGGCGTGCCTATCTTGACACTCTGTTCCACGATGAAGGAGAGATTGTATCTGGCGTAGGCCGAGCCGCCCGTAGTGAAACCTCCGCCGTGGATCCAGAATGCGACAGGCAGATCTGCAGTGTCGTTGACTCCAGATGGTCTAACGACATTCACGTACAGACAATCTTCGGAGAGCTTATGGCCTTGTTCTTCGATCACATAGCTGAGGCAGTTGGGCGAGTACTGGGTGGCGGAACGAACATCATCCCAGCTCTGGTTAAGGCTCTTCGCCACGGTAAACCGTTCTGCCGTCTGATACACCTGTCAAACGCAATCCAAGATGGAAGTCAAATGATGTGGTCCACCTACTTGGGCATATGGCATGCCAAGAAAGAAATCCTGGTCATACTGTGAGCTAAAAACGCCAGCATATGTGCCATTCTTCACTGTGACTCGTGGTCCACTTGTGGAATTAGTAGCCGCGGCCGAGGAACTGAAGAGGCACAGGGCCAGAAGAGCGAGTCTTTTGTGTGAAAGCATGGCTGCGGCTGGTGGTTGGGCATGCCGTGAACCATATGGAGCAGCGACGGTGACAATGACGGCGATCGGCCGAATATATACAGCGCCGCTTCATATGAACTCTCTCTTCACCGATCATGGGCTCTGAAGGGAGGATTGGCATTATTCCCCGCTCATCTCTCCACCCCAACCCCAGATTATCCCCATATCTCGGACGAAGATACATCATCTCCGATTGCCCCATGGCATATCCCGCACTGGCGGAGTCATTTTAATTACCCCTCATTTGGGAGTTTGGGGCCTCGATAGGCTCAGTTGTTGTGCTTGGTTGGATGCCTCGCGTCTGTGTGTCCAGCCCGATTCAGGTCTCTAGAAATTGAGGGGAAAGAATGCGTCGTGTACTTCCTTAGTGGAGCTTTATGTGAGTTTCACTAAGAAGACACTTGCAACTCGGGCTACGTACTGCTTCAAGCGTCTTTTGAAAATGAAGACAAAGGCACTAAGCACGTCGTGGTAGATTGATGTGCTAGGCCTTCATCGACTCTATTCTGTTTGTAACATCTTGCCATAGTTCAGGAATCATCATTTGATGAAGATAGTCTGTGTCATTGTTATATCTGGCGATTCATACAGAGTGAATCAACCGAGGCTACTTTCATTGTCTAAGATTTGAGGGATATACATACGGAGCCTGAGCCCCATGCCGAAGGATCAAAATCAACCAGCTGGCCGGGTCAAATTTTCCTGCATTCCATGTTACTCTGGTCTGGCGCGGGAATAATCGACAACACAGCCGTGCAGGGATCGGGCTTCAGACTACTCGACCGATCAGACGCGACGTGGTGTATGTTTTGCCTGTTTTGATGTACGATTCGATAAAATCAACGCAGCAAAACAGCCGCAAAGGGAGACAGTGATTAGAGGGTAAACAAAGTCATTGCTCACTCTAGATGAGAGTGTCGCATTAACCTAAGATGCGTTGAGAAAGAAAGATGGAGATGAAGAGATAACAGATTCATGAAAGAGACAAGAACTTCCTTATAAAAATGTTTAGATCTAATCAAGATTTGGATTCATAGAATATAACCCTAGACTTATATTAAATTGAACCTTCAGCACTCATTTGCCCCCTCTGATCTTGAACATTGTTGCCCCAGACTTCTCCTCTCGCTCCCACTCCGTACATCCAGTCCAAGAGGCTTTAAACTCGAGTTTCCGTTCCTCTTCCAACTTCCACTTCCAGTATCTCTGTGGAGACCTTTGGGCTGTTATGCTCAGCAACTACAGTCAAATGACTTCGGGGGCCATCGAAGATCTCCGCGATCTCTTCCAAAGTTTCTGGAACACAGAGGTATATGGCAATAACCATAAGGAATAGCACACCGCAAAACACGATGTAGTACCGCCAGCCGATATCCTTCATTGCGATTGGATTGATGAACTGTCCGCTGATGAGGCCGAGATATGTGCCGACATAGTTGGTCGTCATCCCTCGACCTCTCAGGTTATAAGGGAAGATCTCGGCGGTGTAAGCAACCGGCAGAGGAGTCCATGAGATATCGTAGAAGAAATAATAGACGAAGATGTAAACCAAGACGACAGTACCCATGCGTTGACCTTGGGTTTTCGCAAACTCGGCGTTCAAAACAGTCCATGCAATGTATGAGAGCATCATGCCGCCAGTGCCCACGAGGAATAGCGAACGACGACCAACGCGGTCTACCAGGAGGGCACCGCCGCAGACAGCAACTACCCAGTTGACGATTTGCAGCATGCCGTTGATGAGTGTTTGCTGAGCAGGCTCGGTGATTCCAATGGTGTTGAGAACGAGTGTCAAATAGCACTGCGCTCAGGCTTGAAAAATAGATCCCTTACAAAGCATGTGTTGTACAGAGCAGTCGCCTTGGCCCTGTGCGTCGGATATGCCGACTCTGTCACCAGGATAGGTGAAGGTTGGGCGAGAAACGACGTCGCGAAGCCAATAACGAATCGGGCGACGATGAACATGGCGGTATTTTGCGAGGCACCTTGCAAAGCAGCCCGATGGGAAGGAGGATAAAGCCTATATACATCACCTTCTTCCTTCCGAACCTGTCTCCGATCGAGGTGGGAGGGAACAGCCCGATGACCTTGGAGATTGGATAAACTGCATTCATCAAGCCGACCGCGGTTCAACGTTCCCTCCGTCAGAGTGAGTGACGGCCCCAACGGAGTTCGGGGAACCAAATTCTTCGACGGCGTTCGCGCTGCCTGCCTTCCCAATGGCACCGGCCTCGCTGCCACTTGGGACCAGGATTTGCTTTATGAAGCCGGTGTTCTCATCGGCCAAGAGTGTCTGGCCAAAGGGGCTCACTGCTGGCTGGGACCCACGGTGTGCATTCAACGATCGCCTCTCGGGGGAAGAGGCTTCGAGTCTCTCGTAGAGGATCTCTATGCCATCGGCAAACTGGTCGCCGCCTATATCCGAGGTGCCCAGTCGATTGGTGTTATATCCACCATCAAGCACTTCGCGACAAGTGATCAGGAGCATGAGAGAATCAGCGTCAATGCTGTCATGAGCGAGCGAGCCCTGTGCGAGGTTCATCTGTTGCCCTTCCAGATCGCCATGGCAGATGCGTCTCCGGGCGCAGTCATGACATGCTACAACAAGGTCAACAGGCAGCATGTTTCGGAGAGCAAGGACATGCTAAATGGTCTGCTGCGTGGGGAATGGGGCTGGAAAGGTCTAATTATGAGTGACTGGCCCGTCTGCATAGTTACGTCTGATGTTGGAAATGCATCTGCTTACTTGACATGTATAGGTTTGGAACATACTCGACCGCGGAGCCTCTCAATGCCAGTCTTGACCTGGAGATGCCTGGTCCCACGAGGCTTCGAGGACCCTTGCTGGAGCTTGCGATTTCAAGCCGTAAAGTCTCCCGCTCAACGCTTGACGCGCGCGCCAGGACCGTGCTCGAATTTGTCCAGCGAGCGAGCAAGGCTCAGGTTTTGGTCACCGAGAGCACACGAGACTTTCCCGAGGATCGCAAGTTGAATCGCAAACTTGCTTCTGATAGCGTTGTCCTCCTTAAGAACAAGTCGGGCTTTTTGCCTCTGGATCAGGAGAAATTCAAGAGTGTGGCCTTAATAGGGCCAAACATGAAGACTGCAGCGTTCTGCGGAGGAGGCTCTGCTTCCCTCCAGCCGTATTATAGCACTTCGCCGTACCAGGGAATTGTCGATCAGCTCCCTGCCGACGTCGAGATCCTGTATGAGACAGGCGCCACCTCGTTTGCTTATATCCCGGAGCTGCAGGCGACAGATGTGTGCACGCCGGAAGGCCAGCCAGGGCTTCGAATGCGCTTCTACCGCGACCCGCCCTCTATCAAAGAACGGCGCGTGGTCGTGGAAATCGTCATGCAGGAGTCTTCATGGCAACTGATGGGCTTCTCAAACCCGGAACTGGACCGGCTCTTCTACGCAGATATTGAAGCCGAGTGATTGCTCCTGCTACAGGTCCTTTCGAGTTCGGCGTTGCTGTGTATGGATCTAGCAGCCTCTTCATAGACGACCGGCTTATAATCGATAATACAACTGTGGTTTGACAAGGGCTGTACAGCAAAGCAAAAAGCAGCAAATAGAGCAAACGAATGTGATGATGATTAGGATAGAAAAGCTAGCTATTAGAAGGTTCTAATAAAGGTTCGTCTAAGTATATATACATATAATAAGCAGCTTATTAATAAATTAATAAGCCCTATAATATATCTATATAGGTAACTTTTTCTTTTTCCTTTTAACTATTAAAAGGAAATAAATATATATATATAATAACTAGATATAGGTAGAAAAGATACTTTCTAAAAGTAGAGATCTATATAATAATAAGTTAATAATATATAAACCTATTAAGTTATAAACCTAATAATCTATTAAACCTATAGATTATATTAGTTATATATAACCTATCCTTCTTTATATATAATAACTAAATTATTATTAATAAACTATTCTAATAAATAGTTAGAAGAAGATTTAGTAAAACTATTAATAAGATTATCTTTACTATTAATCTAGTAAATTTCTATTAATTTATAGTACTTATATAACTAGTATAAAGTTATAATATTAATTATTAGTTATTTCTTCTTAATAGTACTAAGCTTAATTAGATATTTATAAAAAGAATATAAGTCTATATATATAATAATTAGAATAGATAGAAAAGATAATTAGTTAGTTATTATTTAAAGGGTTATAGAAATTATATAGGTAATATTAATACCTATAATTTATAATAGTTAGGTAACTTATACTAGATACTAAACCTGGTCTAGAGTAAGTTAGGATTAAACTAATTAGAGTATTATTCTAAGTAATATAATCAGATTATTATAGACTATATAATATAAGTTACTATTAATATATAAGTATTATAGAACTAGTAATAATAGATAT